GGTAGGTTACTTACTTTTCTCCGGCACTAGCAAACACAGATATAAATTTTCTCACAACTTTTTTTCCAAATTCCGCCTTTTTTCGAAATTCCGGAAACAAATGAATGCGTTTGCCTTTGGCATCAAGTATTTATAGTGGTGATCAAGTTCATGTCTGAACAAGCATTAAGCATTGTCGGGCGGATAGCGCTTTGCAAGTCTGTACACGAAATTGTACGTAATATCGAATACGCAAGTTTGGACAAGTAACAGTCGCTTGCCTTATTAAAATATTATCTGCTTAGATAGGTACTTAAACAATGTAGGTAGGCCCTTATAAAAACTATGCTTACATTTTTGCTCTTTACTATCAAAAGCAGATAAATTTTCGTGGACCCCCATTAACATCTTATGGACCCCCATTTTTTGTTCACGCCTACGTAGACCCCCAGCAAGTCTCCCGTGGACCCCTGGGGGTCCACCTGGACCACTTTGGGAATCACTGATCTAAATAAACGAGGGAGTGGATAAACTATCGGTAATATATGTCGATGTATATTTAAATTTAGTTTTATATGTACCTTTCTAATGTCCCATTTTAATTAAGTTTTTTTTTATAAAAACAAAAACAGCACTGAACTGTCTGACTGAACAGAACAATGAAGTGAAAATTTAAGATTTAAGGTTATGGTTCAATACAGTTGCAAAAAGGTAGTGACTCGACGTCCTACCAACGTAAGAATAAGGAAATCTAAACAACGTTGGAATTAGTAAAACAGACTTAAGCAAAAAAGGTTACAAGACAACGTTTATTCGATGTCGCAGAAGCTTCTACTTTGCTGTAGTACTAGTCCAACGTCGGCACAACGTTATAAAAACGTTTAAATTTATTTTAATACCCAAGGTAGGGAGCTAACTATTTTTTGTAACTAATCCAACGTTGTGTTTAGTAAACATGTGGTCGCAAGTCGTGAAAATGCTACTTGGGCACCTAAAAATAAACTACTACCACCTTAATTTTGCTACTACCACCCAAAAATAAACTACTACCACCTTAATTTTGCTACTACCACCCAAAAATAGACTACTACCACTTTAATTTTGCTACTACCACCCAAAGATAAGCTACTCTACCACTGTCATTTCATTTAAATCTACGAAAATGTATTATTTCATACTTGAGTGGTTAAATTACCAGAAACATTGATTTATTTACTTACTTAAAATAAAACTAGTAATAAAATTATGTATAACATTTATTATTTTAATAATCTTCGACACAACATAACAGTCAAAAACAAAATGTAAAAATGATTACTATATAAATGTGATAATATTTTTGTAAAGCTTAAGTACTGACAATTAGTAGTTTATATTTGGGTGGTAGTAGCAAAATTAAGGTGGTAGTAATTTATTTTTAGGTGGTAGTAGCAAAGTTAAGGTGGTAGTAGTTTATTTTTGGGTGGTAGTAGCAAAATTAAGGTGGTGGTAGTAAACTGGTATTATCCCATATTAAGGTGGTGTAGTAGCAAAAATTAAGGTGGTTAAGGTAGTATTTTTTTGGGTGGTAGTAGCAAAGTTAAGGTGGTAGTAGTTTATTTTTGGGTGATAGTGGCAAAATTAAGGTGGTAGTAGTTTATGTTTTGGTGGTAGTAGCAAAATTAAAGTGGTAGTATTTTATTTTTGGGTGGTAGTAGCAAAGTTAAGGTGGTAGTAGTTTATTTTTGAGTGGTAGTAGCAAAGTTAAGGTGGTAGTAGTTTATTTTTGGGGGGTAGTAGCAAAATTAAGGTGGTAGTAGTTTATTTTTGGGTGGTAGTAGCAAAGTTAAGGTGGTAGTAATTTATTTTTGGGTGGTAGTAGCAAAGTTAAGGTGGTAGTAGTTTATTTTTGGGTGGTAGTAGCAAAATTAAGGTGGTAGTAGTTTATTTTTGGGTGGTAGTAGCAAAATTAAGGTGGTAGTAATTTATTTTTGGGTTGGTAGTAGCAAGTTAAGGTGGTAGTAGTTTATTTTTGGTTGGTAGTAGCAAAATTAAGGTGGTAGTAGTTTATTTTGGGTGGTAGTAGCAAAATTAAGGTGGTAGTAATTTATTTTGGGTGGTAGTAGCAAAGTTAAGGTGGTAGTAGTCTATTTTTGAGTGGTAGTAGCAAAGTTAAGGTGGTAGTAGTTTATTTTTGGGGGGTAGTAGCAAAATTAAGGTGGTAGTAATTTATTTTTGGGTGGTAGTAGCAAAGTTAAGGTGGTAGTAGTTTATTTTTGGGTGGTAGTAGCAAAATTAAGGTGGTAGTAGTTTATTTTTGGGTGGTAGTAGCAAAATTAAGGTGGTAGTAATTTATTTTTGGGTGGTAGTAGCAAAGTTAAGGTGGTAGTAGTTTATTTTTGGGTGGTAGTAGCAAAATTAAGGTGGTAGTAGTTTATTTTTGGGTGGTAGTAGCAAAATTAAGGTGGTAGTAATTTATTTTTGGGTGGTAGTAGCAAAGTTAAGGTGGTAGTAGTTTATTTTGGGTGGTAGTAGCAAAATTAAAAGGTGGTAGTAGTTTATTTTTGGGTGGTAGTAGCAAAATTAAGGTGGTAGTAGTTTATTTTTGGGTGGTAGTAGCAAAATTAAGGTGGTAGTAATTTATTTTTGGGTGGTAGTAGCAAAGTTAAGGTGGTAGTAGTTTATTGGTAGTAGCAAAATTAAGGTGGTAGTAGTTTATTTTGGGTGGTAGTAGCAAAATTAAGGTGGTAGTAGTTTATTTTTGGGTGGTAGTAGCAAAATTAAGGTGGTAGTAGTTTATTTTTGGGTGGTAGTAGCAAAGTTAAGGTGGTAGTAGTCTATTTTTGGGTGGTAACAAAGTTAAGGTGGTAGTAGTCTATTTTTGGGTGGTAGTAGCAAAATTAAGGTGGTAGTAATTTATTTTTGGGTGGTAGTAGCAAAGTTAAGGTGGTAGTAGTCTATTTTTGGGTGGTAGTAGCAAAGTTAAGGTGGTAGTAGTCTATTTTTGGGTGGTAGTAGCAAAATTAAGGTGGTGGTAATTTATTTTTGAGTGGTAGTAGCAAAATTAAGGTGGTAGTAATTTATTTTTGGGTGGTAGTAGCAAAGTTAAGGTGGTAGTAGTCTATTTTTGGGTGGTAGTAACAAAGTTAAGGTGGTAGTAGTCTAGTTTTGGGTGGTAGTAGCAAAATTAAAGTGGTAGTAATTTATTTTTGGGTGGTAGTAGCAAAGTTAAGGTGGTAGTAGTTTATTTTTGGGTGGTAGTAGCAAAATTAAGGTGGTGGTAATTTATTTTTGAGTGGTAGTAGCAAAGTTAAGGTGGTAGTAGTCTAGTTTTGGGTGGTAGTAGCAAAATTAAGGTGGTAGTAATCTATTTTTGGGTGGTAGTAGCAAAATTAAGGTGGTAGTAGTTTATTTTTGGGTGGTAGTAGCAAAATTAAGGTGGTAGTAATTTATTTTTGGGTGGTAGTAGCAAAAATTAAGGTGGTAGTAATTTATTTTTGGGTGGTAGTAGCAAAATTAAGGTGGTAGTAGTTTATTTTGGGTGGTAGTAGCAAAGTTAAAAGGTGGTAGTAGTTTATTTTTGGGTGGTAGTAGCAAAATTAAGGTGGTAGTAGTTTATTTTGGGTGGTAGTAGCAAAATTAAAGTGGTAGTAGTCTATTTTTGGGTGGTAGTAGCAAAATTAAGGTGGTAGTAATTTATTTTTGGGTGGTAGTAGCAAAATTAAAGTGGTAGTAGTCTATTTTTGGGTGGTAGTAGCAAAATTAAGGTGGTGATAGCAAAATTAAGGTGGTGAATTGTAGTTTATTTTTGGGTGATAGTGGCAAAATTAAGGTGGTAGTAGTTTATTTTTTGGTGGTAGTAGCAAAATTAAGGTGGTAGTAGTTTATTTTTGAGTGGTAGTAGCAAAATTAAGGTGGTAGTAATTTATTTTTGGGTGGTAGTAGCAAAATTAAGGTGGTAGTAGTTTATTTTTGGGTGGTAGTAGCAAAGTTAAGGTGGTAGTAGTCTATTTTTGGGTGGTAGTAGCAAAATTAAGGTGGTAGTAATTTATTTTTGGGTGGTAGTAGCAAAGTTAAGGTGGTAGTAGTTTATTTTTGGGTGGTAGTAGCAAAGTTAAGGTGGTAGTAGTCTATTTTTGAGTGGTAGTAACAAAGTTAAGGTGGTAGTAGTCTATTTTTGGGTGGTAGTAGCAAAATTAAGGTGGTAGTAATTTATTTTTGGGTGGTAGTAGCAAAACTAAGGTGGTAGTAATTTATTTTTGTGTGGTAGTAGCAAAGTTAAGGTGGTAGTAGTTTATTTTTGGGTGGTAGTAGCAAAATTAAGGTGGTAGTAATTTATTTTGGGTGGTAGTAGCAAAATTAAGGTGGTAGTAGTTTATTTTTGGGTGGTAGTAGCGAAATTAAAAGGTGGTAGTAGTTTATTTTTGGGTGGTAGTAGCAAAATTAAGGTGGTAGTAATTTATTTTTTGGGTGGTAGTAGCAAAATTAAGGTGGTAGTAGTTTATTTTTGGGTGGTAGTAGCAGCAAAATTAAGGTGGTAGTAGTTATTTTTGGGTAGTAGCAAAATTAAGGTGGTAGTAATTTATTTTGGGTGGTAGTAGCAAAATTAAGGTGGTAGTAGTTTATTTTTGGGTGGTAGTAGCAAAATTAAGGTGGTAGTAATTTATTTTTGGGTGGTAGTAGCAAAATTAAGGTGGTAGTAGTTTATTTTTGGGTGGTAGTAGCAAAATTAAGGTGGTAGTAGTTTATTTTTGGGTGGTAGTAGCAAAATTAAGGTGGTAGTAATTTATTTTTGGGTGGTAGTAGCAAAGTTAAGGTGGTAGTAGTTTATTTTTGGGTGGTAGTAGTAAAACTAAGGTGGTATTACTTTCAACTAATCTCAAAAAGGAAATTTTAAATTTGGTCAGTTAAATAGGCACCCCCCTAATCATCTGCTGATGATGAAACGCACGTCCAGTGCAGAAGTAAAATGTTTTGGTGTATTGTGGTGAATTAGTGTTTTCTTTTGCAACAATAATATATTAGGAGTATCTGTTTTATAGGACTGTCACCTGAAGCAGCCACATGGATTGCTAATTCTGGCAAATTCTACGGCGTGGGAATTGACACTATAAGCATTGATCCTGGAAGAAGCACGAAATTTGAGGCTCACAGAATTTTGGCGGCACACCAGATTTACATTTTAGAAAATGTGGCGCTTACAGGCGATTCTGTTGCCCGTAAGATTTATTTTAATCTATATACAGGGTGGCGCACCTCATTCGCTTTGGTTGATTATACGAAAACGGAAAGATGTAGAAACAAAATATTTTATGGGTATATGTGGGAAGGCAATGTGCATAATTTAAAATTACTTTGAAATGTACAGGGTGTGTCAGAACTATATACCTAAGTTATATTTTTTCTTCTGGAACACCAGGTATTTTGTTTCATTTTTGGATTCCTGGACATAAAATAAGGCATTTGGATTCCTGGGCATAAAATAGGGCATTTATTATAAGGGTTTAATATGTTTAAAAGCTTTGGTTTTTGAGATATTTAAAGATATTAAATATGCATGCTATTATAAAAAGTTTCTCAATACCCTGTACATTACTTTTCAGAGTTAATTCTTATGCTGACTTTTAAGCCAGAGAAATAAACTTAACTAAAATATTTGATTGCTTCCAAAAATGTATCCAGGGGTATCAAAAATTGCTGATCTATTTTAAATATTTATTTTACATAAAAACTTCGTTATTTCAAATGCAACACCGTGTATATTTTAAGATAAGTCGAAGTTAAATCCTCTTTCAAATTATATTGGGGTTTCCTATACCTATCTGTTTCAGATTTTGAATAAAAAGCAATTTTTCAATAAAATGGCAATCAAGATGGCTGGTGTTGCCATGGCAATTTGCTAGTGACAGTTAGTAGTATTTTCAAATTCGACATTATTTTATAGATTTTATTTAAATTTATAACAGTTTACTTTTATTTAATTTACGTACCGTAGTTCAATAAGTATGTAAGTATTAATTATTTTATCAAGAAAATCGAAGTAGTTCTTTGATTTATATTAGGATGACTTTTAGATATATTGGATTTTCTATAAAAGAACCAATTAAGGCAAATTCATTTTCTTCACTTCCAATGACAGGTTTCTGCATAAAATTTTTTCATATACCACACTATCAGCTCTGCGAAATAGGAAAAGTAGTTTTTCAAAATGAACGCTTGTGACTTATTTCAAAATATACATAGTGTTGTATTTGAAATAACGAAGTTTTATGTAAAATAAATGTTTAAAATAGACCAGTAATTTTTGATACCCCTGTATACATATATACATGCGCTATAAATCCCCATATTTTTAATAGAATAGAGATCTTAAATGGGAAAAATTTGATATGGTGCTTTTTTAGAACTGTGGACCACCCTGTAAGTAATATTTGTATCTATATGTAAATTATGTATTCCTTTTTAGCTTATGGATTTCAAGTAATAGTGGCTCCTATGAAATTGGGGGGTGGTAGTGGAGCTCCTGTTAGAATTTTTGTGGTTATGGATGCAAAACTACGAAATTTGGAGAACTAAAATAAAATACCAGCGTTATTTTAAACTATCATATTTTTTATTTTAACTTTTATTAATTTTAAAAATTATACATTTATTTTTATTTTTGGAACATTTTATTGTTAAACCTTCAGTAATTTTTGAAAATTACGCAAGGAATCTACTAAATTAGATCTTAAATTAATTGCTTAAATGTTTTTAAATAATTTTTGTAGTATTATTGATACTTAACCCTCTGAACTGGTAGTTTTTTTAACCCTTAATCACAGCCCTTAATATAAATCACGATATAAATTTACAATTATGCAACTAATATTACATTATTCTTAAAAAATTAGGTGGTTGGCAAACCTGATACGATTGGCGACCATTCCATATTTTTGACATTCCTAAAAGTCAGGTTAGATATTTAAATTTTAAAAGTGGCCAGAGACAACTTCTCTAAGTTGTCTCTGAAGTGGCATTTGGTGGTGTTCGTTTTCAAAAAGTAAATACTGATTTTGATTTAAATATTTCAAATCTAGAAGAAGATTCATATCTAAAAGTAGTTAATATATAAAAAAATAAACGCTCCCTGGAAACTTATAGACTATTATAAAAAGATGTCATGCTCAGCTGAGGAAATCGAACGAAAACGACAAGAAGCTTTACGAAAATTAGCACAAAAGGGCCTAAGCCCTCAAAAATCATTTGAAAACGGTCAGAATGTGTCGTCAAGTTCTAAAAGTGTTTCTAGTCCTACGTTTTCGTCTGTGTTTAGGACATCTTCGCCAAAGTTTGTTAATAAGTTTGTGGATCATTCGAAGAAGCCTTACGAGCGAATCAGTGCAAATACAAACAGTAAACAAACGATAGATTTTTACGGACCTAATAAAGTTATAACTCTGTCATTTGTGTTAATAAGTAGTGAAAGGTTTAATGTTGCCATGTCAAGTTATAGTGATGCGGTGATAAACTTGTTTAAACAGATTCCAACCAGGAATTATGGTACATGACGTAATTATTTGACTGTATTTCTGTTAATTAAGCATTTGTGTTTATTGTAGATTCACAGACTCGCCTGTGGTCTTTTCATATTACAGAATACAACCTAGTCGTTTCAAAGTTATCGACTTTAAAATCCCAGAACGTAAAGCTAGAAAAATTACCCCCGTTTGTAATAAATTGTCTACAGAAACCTATCCCCAGCTGTGATATAGATTTAAATCGATTAGACACAGAGTTAAGTCAAACGTTATTACCTTTTCAATTAGAAGGATTGAGGTGAGTTTCTTTTTGTTTATAGCAATATTAAAATATTGAAAATACTATTGTTTGTAGGTATGGAGTTGAAAGAAATGGTAGGTGCCTTATTGCCGACGATATGGGTCTTGGGAAAACATTTCAAGCCCTAGCAGTTATGAATTATTATCAAAGTGATTGGCCTTTGCTGATTGTAACAACAGCTTCAATGAAGTAAGTAATGTTAAGTTTAAATTTAATATTAGCGTAGAATATTAGATATAAATATCTAAAAATAATACTACACTGTCTGCAATGCTTCTACAGGTTTTATACATAAATAAGAGTATTATTAATTTGTAGAAATAAACTGCTTGCTGTTGCACTGCTAGCTATTTGGTGTTACAAGCTTTAACAGTTTCTGAAACATATTTATAAAAATATTTTTTTTTGTATAAATCTGATTAGATACTAAATTATCTCCTTTTTTATTTTTATTATGAAAGAACTTGTTTTATTCTTTTTATATACAGGGGGATCCACTGTTCTGAATAGTTCCATATCATGGTTTCTATTTAAGATTTTTATATCATTTTTTTTTTGTAAAATATGCAAGCAATAGTATCCCATATTTTAAAAATATTTAGAGATATACAGGGGGATTTAAATATATTCTAGGTTTAGAATTTAAATAAAACTGATACAATGGATCACCAATGGTGTTACAGGGTGATCCATTGTTTCAAAAAGTTCCACGTCAGGGTTCCTATTTGAAATTTTCATCCCGTTTTTTTTTGTAAAATGTGCAAGCAATAGTATCACATAATTTAAAGATATTTTTGTAGTAATACAGGGTGTTCCTTAATGAAATGGCGATATTTAAGGGAGCGATTCTTGGACTTATTGTAAGAAAAAAACTTTATAATACGATAGTATGTCATAAACATCTTTACTTTTGAGAAACAGAGGGTGGTAAAATTTTCTACAATTTTTTTTTCCATATTAACTCTTGTGTTATTATAGATATTTTTATGAAATTTTACTCTCAGATTTTCAAAATGATGTTTATTTTAAGAGAAGCCAATGGCGTACCATTTTTTCTCCAAAAATATTGAATATAAAATCTGTCTTAACAAGTTTTATGTCAATTTTTACTAAACGAGGTCTAGAGATTGTCCTCGGCAAAATTATTATTGATTGTCATTCTCCAGTTATCATTGACGCCGTTTTTTCGATCATACGGTATATTCTTGCATTATTTCTGTTATTAAAAGGAATGCATGTTCATATCAAATAAACTTTTACGTGATTAAGCTTGACCGGCACAGCGTTGCCCACTTTTACATAATTTCTTTTAATCAAAATATTTAAAGAAACTAAAATAAATTAATTATAAATATGTATATACACTGTTATTATTTATATATATATAATCAAAAACCTTTCTACCCGAACTTCTTGAATATAGGCAAAACAATTCCCAATTCCCAGTCTCGGGGTACCTCCTCTTCATTTATAATTTCATTGAGCAAATCAGCGAAAACAGTGACAGCACTTTCTCCTAAATTCTTCAACATTTCTCCTGTTTTATTGTCATGACCCCCAGCTTTCCCCTTCTTCAGTATTTTTATGGCTTCGATTACTTCCGTTTTGTCAATTTTTCTATACGCCGTTGTGTTAATATTACTTGCTAATTTATTTTCTTGCGAGTTAGTAATAACATCATCTGTGCATAATTGTGCAAGTTATTATTTACATCAACAAAACTCACCTTGTTAACAGCACTTAAGGGACATAAAACGCTATTAACTACCGCTTTCCTGTTCTAAATATTCTAATCAAATTGCGATGATTTTTTTACGACAATTAAGCTATAATCTTGTACACTTCGCACTAAAAGTGGTTCTAAAAAGAACAATGTTCGACTGCAAGGCCTGCTAGAAAACATTTTTAAGCTTAAAGTATCACAACACTATTTATTCAAACCAAAAACTCGTAATACAAAACTAAAATGTCAAAACGAATGATATTGTCAGGAAATAAATAAATAAATGCGGCAACTTGACATTTTTTACAGCAGAGCTATCACCTGAATTCCCAGCGGGAAATTTAAATTCCAGTTAGTCAGCCCGGCTCCGAATATGTCCATAGTTGGCAACAATGAATTTAAAAATCGCGCCCTCGATTACGCCACTAAAATTTTAATTGGTATCGAATATATGTTAATAGTTTTTGGGACTCTTTTATTCAATATAAACAAATCTGTTCATTTTTAGGCATGTCTGGGAAGAAACCATAGTCAAATACCTCCCATCTATATCAATAATGCAAGTCCAGTACATGACTTCGGGCAAAGACTATATCGGCGGGTCCAAAGTCATAATCGTCAGTCACGATTTGATGTCCAGATGTTGCGAGAAACTCTTAGAAAGAAACTTCGGTTGTATCATTATCGATGAGTCACATACAATGAAAAACTTCAAAGCGAAAATAACCCAAGCCGCTACCAAGCTGTCTAAAAACGCCAAAAGAGTGGTTTTGTTGAGCGGAACCCCAGCTCTATCACGTCCTAGCGAACTCTATTCTCAATTGAGCCTCATTGACGAGCGATTTTTCGGGAACTTTATAGAATACGCAAGAAGGTACTGCAACTTACAGAAAACGAACTTTGGCTTGGATTCCTCGGGGTACTCCAACTTACAAGAGCTGGAAATCGTTCTACATAGAAAATTCATGATAAGGAGGACGAAAGAAGATGTTATGAAATGCATGCCGAAGAAAACCCAGGAAATAATTAGGTTAGATGTGAATTTGCAGAATTTTAGCCAGGAAGACAGGGAGACTTTGCGGATTTTGGAACAGAAATATGCGGACACTAAGAAATCGAGGGATAAACATAGTCTATTGTTGACGTTCTTTTCGGAAACTGCCAAGATTAAAATACCTTCTGTTTGGTAAGTTAAATTTTTAAAAAAAGTAACTTTAGAGGTGTTTTATAACAGTTTATTGTTTAATCTTGTAATGTTGCCATATTTCACAGGGATATAGGTTGAAAATATTGAATAAAGACTAAGGACCATTGGTAGGGTAGATAAAAAAAATTGGGTATATTAAACCGTGCTGGCAACTGTTACTTTTGGGTCGGTAATTAAATGTGTGGAAGTAAATCGCATAGGGATCTTATTAAGTCGGAGTGAGAGAAATGCGACGGTGTGCTGTTGCGTTGTTGCCGGTACGCCTTTCCCTATCAAGTAAAGTAAAATCACGATCACAAACCGCGTATTATTAAGACTTTTTTCTAAAAGGTCACTAGATAAAATAATTAGATATTTTTCTGAGCATCTGAAATGGAATTATAAGGATATCATTAGGGTGTCCATTTATTTTATAACGAGAAAACGATCGATTTTTGAAATCAGAGTTCTAATAGCGCGACCACTATCGAACACCCACTCGATTCCACTTATTTTTACCAAAAATGCAACTGTTTGTTTCTAGCTTGCACTTTTTGCAAAATTTTCAAGCTATAGGGAAAATTACAACGACTCGTTAATAAATAAACAAATTAAGTATCACGGGACATAATTAAATCGTGAAGCTGAACGCATGATGTACACCTTTCCCTAGAACTCTTTAAGTACTGACAGAGGTACTGATTGGGTCAACTCAACCAGTCGACTGCGATAAATCTGTTATCCCTTTCCACGTCTCTTAGCAATGTGCGCAGTTTCTCGGTTTATTTCATACGTTTGGCAACGTGTTTACTCTTCCTTCTTTGTTCATTACATTATAAACGCATTGTACTCTTCTTACATACGGAAATCTCGACCCAAGACTAACCTTTGAGTAACTTTTTTGTAAAGACAATCCGGTTATGTCTTTACAAGAGGAAAAAACTTCTTTATTATTGACATTTTGAGAAAATGCATTCTTCATAAAAAAATTTGCTTGTTCTAAAATGGTTAATCCCGTTTATACTTTCTAAAATTTCTATACCGTTTTAGAGATAATAAAACAAATATGAAAATATTCCAAGTCCCAAAAAGTAAGTAAGTTTTTGGCGATTGTTAATGTGTCACATTTTGCGATAACTATTCATAGCATGGAATTAAATTTAAGGTAATGTGGTAATAACTTAATGATTTAAATAGTTACCCTTAATTATATTACCAAATATAATTCGAAATTATATTACCAAAGAAACGCGTTTTTATTTTTAGGACTTAGAAAATATTCAACTACCGAGTGCGTCTCAAAAGTGGCTCATCGCCTATAACTTTTTTATTTTTTCAGATAAAAAAACGAGATTTGGTATGTTAGTATATGGCATGAATTAGGATTGATTGACGTATTCAGTTGTTTTTTGTCACTTCCTGTTTCACCGGAAATGACTACAACTTTTGATTTTTAAACCACACCTTCGGTATTTTTTTTACTTTATTCGATAGAAAATGACACTCTGAATTAGAGGTGGGAATTCTAGTTCCTTAGTTCTAGTTCCTCCAGAGGAATAGTTCCTTGTACTAGGTCTTTAGTTCACAATAGTTCCCGACTAACATTGGCATAATTGAGCATTGAGTTGCTTGCTAATGGGGTTCGTTGCCAGTCAGAACTATTCACAGTATGATCTATACAATTTTTATAATGTACGAAATATAACGAAACGTGTAATTGTGTATGTTAAAAAAATATAGGTAAGTTTTATTGCAGATAAAAAAAAATAAAAAAGAAACTCAAATCAGAGTTTAAAAAACTATATAAACTATATATATCACAAATCAATTGGAGCAAATATTACGAAAAATTGCATTTTTCCTCACTTCAAGCTTTTTCTTTTTGTCTAAAAATTCAGAATATCTACTTCGTTTTATAAGATATTTCTTAATTTTAGGGATCTAAAGTGAACAATCAAATAAAATAAATTCACATAAAATATTTAAAGAACAAACTAAAAATCAAAAACAGTATCCATGACAATTTTCTGTGGCAATTACGCCGGCTGTGGCAATAGACAAGACCGAATCCATCGTCGTCGCCTTGTATTATATCTCAGATCTGCCGACTGAATAGATTCCCGTGAACTAGTCTTTTAATTAGTTCCTCTAGGTCCGGATCCGATAACATACGGCTGGCACTCCCCACGCCTGCCTAATATCAAACGCGCTCGCCGATCCGTACGTAAACTAGTCTTTTATTTAGTTCCTCTAGTTCCTTTAGGTCCGGATCCGATAACATACGGCTGGCACTCTCCGCTTCTGCCTAGCATCGATCGCGCTAGCCGATCCGTACGTAAACTAGTCTTTTATTTAGTTCCTCTAGGTCCGAATCCGATAACATACGGCTGGCACTCCCCATTCCTGCCTAGCATCGAGCTACGCGCGCTGGCCGATCCGTCGCCGTCGCATATTATTATACAGGGTGTCCCAGAAATGAGTGCAGATATTTTAAGGGGTGGTAGATCTGGTCAAAATAAACATATTTTCTCTTTACCATTTTTAAAATAAATTGAAAATAACCGAGTTATTTAACTTTGAAAATTTAAAAAAATAATCGCAACATTTTGAGAACCGCCGGCAGATATCGCCAACTACATCCAATTACCCGGATCAAGCCCGGATTTCAGTTAATTCGACGCACTGTGTTGCCATAGGGACAAGAAAGTATATGTTAAAAGTAAGTCATAAAATCACAACACCTGAGGAGTTTGCAGAGATGCATTACATTTTAAGATTGTGATATTATTACATAAAATAAATTAAAAGTTAAATGTTTAATAATGTGTTAAAAAATGTGTTAAAGAAGTTAAATTAAAAAACTTACCCAACATTAAAAAAGATACTTATGATAGATCGATGTAACTGTGGCAGTTCTCTTTTTCGATATACACTTAACTAAAATACACTTCACTGTGCTGCTTTACTTGTACATGCTATTATAATAACTACTAAAATAACAGTCCCCATTTTTAACACATTATTTTCATATAGGCCTCATCACAATTTGAACCACTGATTTGAAAATCATTGATTCAAAAACACCTTGAAAAGCACACATTACTTTGAATACCTTTCTGAATGAATAAATAAATGTTAAGAATTATTGTCTTTTACTGCCACTTTCCGATCTACTTTCAATATAAGAAAATACATGTTTCACTCAACAATTTTAAATACGTATTTTGTTTTTTCGCTATTTTTTCTATGTATTTCAACAATTCCATCGACAGCCCAAACGTCACGTCGGCCAAGAGAGCCGCGCATTAGTGGTAACTGCTCCTTTGTCGCGCCGCCGTGTCGAGCTTGCGTCATGCGAGGTTGCCGTAGTTTCAACAATTCAAGACACTCGAAGCAATCAAATTCTTATTAAATTTTAAAAATAAAACAGAAAAACATGAAAGGAAACAAACAAAACACAAATGAATTGGTTATTGATAAGGTCACAAAAAAAATTTCTAAAATGTTTATCGTAATTCAGAATTCAATACATCGAAAACAGCCCGACGAATAACCAATTCATTTTTATTTTGTTTATTTTCTTTCATGTTTCTCTGTTTTATTTTTAAAATTTAATACGAATTTGATTGCTTTGAATGTTCGCTTAACATCGTCGTCTGACGCAAGCCCGCCACGACGGCGCGGCGACCGGCGACTCAAAGGACCAGTTTACACGCGGCAGTTCTTGGCTGATGGTAAGGCTGTCGATGGAATTGTCGAAATACATCGAAAAAATAACGAAAAAACAAAATACGTTGTCAATAATTGTTGAGTGAAACATGTATTTTCTTAGATTGAAAATAGTTCGTAAAGTGGCGATAAGAGACAATAATTCTCAACATTTATTCATTCCGTAAGGTATTCAAAGTAATGTGCGCTTTTCAAGGTGTTTTGTAAAACAGTGGTTCAAATAAAACAGAGAAACATGAAAGAAAACAAACAAAACAAAAATGAATCGATTATTCGTTGGGCTGTTTTCTAAATTTCTTGAATTAAATTCTAAATTACGATAAACATTTTAGGAATTTCTTTTTGTGACCTGATTGTGAATAATATGAATCATTTTATTAAATTTATTCCAAAATAAAGTTATTTTGCAGCATAACAAAGATTTTCGTAAACGTCATAGACGTAATGTTTTAGTTAATTTTCGGTGGTTTTTGTTAAGTTTTCATTGATAGGGTAATTACTAAAAATAATTAATGTGTTTTTTTTCTATAATTATTAATAATGAGCACTGATAAAAGATTAAATTTAACATTCCTAATTTTTTGAGTAGACATTTATCTATGAATTTATAAATGTAGAACTATGTTCCGCCGAACTATGTAGAATGTGGATAACATAGGAGGTTGCAACACTGCAAGGTTTAGATACACCGTAGGGAAATCTTAGGTGAATAAACAAGTGGCACTAAAAAGTTTTTTCAAATTTCCCGGAAAATGTCAAGAAAAATTTTAAATTTTCAACATTTTTTTTTCGCAAAAAAAACCTCATAGGCGTGTTTCTGGGGTTGAACTATACTACCAGTTAAAATATTTGCACTTATTTCTAGGACACCCTGTATATCAGTCACAGTCTCGAACCCGGAATAGGTCCTGAGGAACTAGTTCCTTTCATTCCGGGGTCGGAATAGTTCGTTGGAACTAGTTCGTTCACGAACTACATACCTCTACTCTGAATAGAATGATATGTCATATGTCAACTTTGACATTTTCGCATATGGTTTATTTGAAATTGTAACATGTGGTTCATAACGACAATTTGACTCTAAATACTAAGTGTGTGGTATCAAATTATTCGTAAAAAATGCTTTTTCCAAATATGCTAATGAACCACCCTTGTTCCATTTGAAAAAATTGAGATATGATCAAAAATACGATTTGGGCATCTTTTAACCGGCCAGGACAAGAAACGAAAAACATTAGACGATCAAATCTATTTTTCGAAGGCTCCTTTGCTATTATATATCTTTGCTATTTTAAAATCAAAAATTGTAGTCGTTTCCGGCGAAACAGAAAGTGACCAAAAACAAATTAATACGTCAATCAATCTTAATTGATGTCATACACTAACATGCCGAATCTCGTTTTTTTATCTGAAAAAAAGTTACAGGGGTAAGCGACTTTTGAGACGCACCCTGTATAGTATATAACCATAAAAACTCAAAAAAAGATCAAATTTTCAAAAAAATTGCGAAAAAAGACATGTTTCTGGGGTCGAGTTATACTACCCCTAAAAATATTTGCACTTATTTAAGACTCACCCTGTATAAAATAACCGTCACTATTAGGCTAGAATACTATTAGACTCATTCCTTAATCTTTTCATTCAATGATACGGCCATATTAACGTTAAATGTTCTATTTTCCAGTTCATACATTCATAGTGTCCTGGAACAGAAAACCAAATTCCTAGTTTTCGCGCACCATCAAATCATGCTGAATGCGATTGAAGATATGTTGCAAAGACAAGCATTAAAGTACATCAGAATCGATGGGAACACGACGGGAGATCAGAGGAAGTATTTTGTCGACAAATTTCAGACAGATGACAGCTTTGTCTGTGCTCTCTTGTCTATCACCGCCGCTAATGCCGGTATAACTTTGACAGCGGCGCAAATGGTCATTTTTGCTGAACTGCATTGGAATCCTAGTGTAAGTAGTGTGTTTAAATATTACAGTTGAGGGTTGGAACCTTTGGTGTTACACAGCAAAATAAACCACTAAGTTAAATAATCGTTTTCCTTCCATTAAATTTACACATGAAATTGAGAACAACGACAGATTACCATTTCTAGATGTATTAGTTATTAGAAATACCAATAATTGCCTGGAATTTGATATCTATAGGAAAAATACCACTACACGCAGATATATTCCTAATGAATCATATCATAGTATTGAACATAAAATGGCTAGCAAATAAATTTCTTAGTTCATAGATTACTTAGTTTTCCACTTTCCAACAAAAGATATGAAATAGAAAGAGATTACATTAGGAATGTAGCTGAGTGTAATGGATATTCTCCTTCACTAGTTGATAAAATAATTAGAAAACGTAGGTATAGGTTAATGATTTCTGAAAATTCGACTTTTCAAGTGGAGAAAGATACGTCAAAATATTTTTCAATACCGTTTGATAGACAGTTATCCCGTGGTCTAAAAGGAATTTTTAAGAATGTCAATTATAAACTTGTGTATAGTGCTAATAATAAATTACAACAATTATTAGGTAATCCAAAGGTAAACCTCTACTGGAAAGGTCGGGTATTTATGAAATTTCTTGTAAAGATTGTAATCAGAAATATGTTGGGCAAACTAGAAGATCAATATTAACTAGATTTAAAGAACATTTAGCTCAGATAAGATATGGTAGACCGGATAAATATTGCGTTGCCGAACATATTGTTGATAAAGAACATTGTATAGATCTTAATAACTTGAAATTAATTAAACAAGTTTCAAATTACAGGCAATTAGATGCATATGAAAGCATCAAAATTAATAAATGTAAAGATAGTATGAACAGAGACAACGGTCCAATTCCTTCAAGTTCTTTGTTCCTACTACTCTAGTGGCGGAAATCTAACTGTTACGTTCGGTGGGTTCTGACTCGGTTGGCTAGATCTTGCCACGCTCACTCTGTGACCACTGAGCGAGTATATAAACGCTCCAATTGTAGATTGTATTTTAGTTTATAATCATCTGATGATGATGCTAACATGGTTAGCGAAACGCGCGTCCAGTGTAACAGTAAAAGTGTTTTGGTGTATTTAGTGGTTTATTTTGCTGTTTAAATATTATTGAATTTTTGAATAAAAAGTTTTGGAATGAAAAATCATGTGTCAAATGCCATGGTGTCATTTTAAAATTACCTGTTTTGACTAAAAAATTACCTGTCTTTGAATAAAAAAATAAGGGTGGAATATAATGCTATTCATGTGTTGATGTATTAGATATGGAACTGACATTACGTACTCTGATTTTTGACAGTTCTGTTTGACGTTTGAATTTGATTTGAAATTTTGTAGATTTGTTTGGTCTTTTCTGATCATATTTTATGTTATATATTATTTATTCTACAAATGGTATTGTTTAGAGGCAGTAAATCTATATTTGATATCAATTAAACTTTTAGTTACGTAATCGAGGGCGCGGGTTTTTTAAATTCATTGTTGCCAACCATGAACATATTCGGTGCCTTGTTGAAAAACTGGAATTTAAATTTCTCGCTGGGGATTCAGGTGGTAGCTCTGCTGTAAAAAATGTCAGGTTGTCACATTTATTTATTTATTTCCTGACAATGTCATTCGTTTTGACACTTTAGTTTTGTATTAGGAGTTTTTGGTTTAAATAAATTGTGTTGTGATTCTTTAAGCTTAAAAATGTTTATTAGCAGACCTTGCAATCGAACATTTGTTCTTTTTAGAACCTCTTTTAGTGCAAAGTGTACAAGATAGTTTAATAGCCGCAAAAAAACTTATCCCAACTTTATTAGAATATTTTGAACGGGAAATCTGTAGTAATGGCCCTTTATGTCTTTTAAGTGCTGTTAAGAAGGTGAGTTTTGTTGATGTAAATAGTAACTGTTTATATGAATATAATTAATATATTTTTGTTTCCTAAAATATTTTGATTAAAAGAAAATAAATAAAAGTGGGCAACGCTGTGCCGGACAAGCTTAATCACGTGACTAAAAGTTTATTTGGTATGAACTGTAGATGGAGATTGTGTTAACTATCAACTTAAATTAACAGTGACATTATTGATAATTCCAGAGAAAAGACTATAAAATACCGTATGATCGAATAACAACGGCGTTGGCGATGGCTATGAATTGAAGATTGCTGTCATTTTATATGGGAAATGTCATCGTTCGTCATTTCCAAGCCAACTGGACGCCATTATTTTTTTCGATCATACGGTAGTTAGTTGTACAGCGTGCGGTAGATCTCGGTCAAAAGTCGGGATAAATAAGGGTATAATTTTAATTTTTAAGTAATGTTACGCGTAGTAAACCAATCAGTTATGAAATTCACTTAGAATAGCTAATTATGGTAATCACAAAACAACTTTCGATGCACGTGATCAACTTTGAGTGACAAGCGATGGCGACAGCGCTGCCAGATTGTGATGGATTTATGAGATGAATCTTAATTTAAAATTGACAAACCATATATTTATTATATAATTTTTTAAAGATTTTTACGTTTTATTTTTAATTTGATAATTAATATTTTAGTAATTAATTGATTAGCATATTTTACTTATTACATATTGGCAAAAACCAGTCCATTATGAAGATTATTCTAAGCGTTATCATAGGTTATTTATTTATTTATTTATTGATGTAAATCTTAAACGCCATAAGTGGTAATAACAAGTAAGAGGATGATATTAATGCACAAAGTAATAATCATAGAATTTAATAAAAACTAATTTTTAAAGTGGTATAATGTGCTTATCAATCAAACTTACTTCTCTGACTGCAGTCAAGGGTAATAAAGGACCTTTATTGTCACGTTCTCGTTCAAATTGTTTATCAGGGAAGCTACAAGCTCTTTGCTTCGACTGTTTAAATGCTTCGGCATATTTTCAACACACAATTTTAAGAAATGCAATACAAAATCTCGAAAATTTAGTTCTTAAAGGAACTGTTTGTGTTTAAAACTGCAGTTTTTAAAAAAAGACTACGAAAATAGGCAAAAAAAAGAGAATTGCTCACAAAGATTCAACATTACATTAGGATAACTGTCAAATAATAAAGGACAACATTGCTGAACACGGCGCAATGTGACCAACATAGTGATAATAAAATTAGGTTTAAACTAATTTTTGCAGCTTTAATCTAAATAAAATATATGTTACAATCATTTGTTCTATAAAGTAAAATGAAGAACTGCTTGGTATCTTAAATTATACAACAAATTTAAAATTTTTTGCCAAAATTTCATTTAGTCAGGTTTATAGACTTTAATGCCAATGTCGATATGATTGATGGCGTGCATCGGAACAGGTTTTGCGATTACAGTATGTATTTTATCTGTTTCCCGCCAAACAACCAACTGTCAACTTTTGTCGTCAATTACTGCGAGTTTGAATTATCATAAGATTTTTTTTTCAGATTTTGAGTCAGGCTGAAGCCAGAGCTCATCGTATTGGTCAAGATAAACCTGTCAGTATCCAATATCTCCTGGCAGATGGCACTGCCGACGATTCAATATGGCCGCTCCTCCAGTCCAAACAACAGATCTTAAATGAAGTGGGCCTGTGTAAATCTTCCTTTGACAATATAAGCGAGAAACCGCAAGAAACCAAACACATTTTTGTTGAATCAAGGAAAAAATCGTTAATAACGAACTTTTTCGATAAAGAACCCAAAAAAGTCGATGATGAAAGGATAGGTGGCAGTAAGATCGGTAGCGATAGCGGTATAAATGACTTTGATGATATATTAAATGATGATTTCGATGATGTTCTTTGTAACATTGATATATGATGATTTTGACTGATTCTTTTGGATATTGTATTATATTATTTATGTGTTTTTTTTGATAGAATTATATATGTATCATATTTTTATTTGAGTATTTTTTATTTCTTATATACCTAATGTCCTTTATGAAGTACATATACAGCGTCGAAGAAGTTTCTGAGGGCTTATGATCAAGAAAAATCACAGATCTTCCTGGGTCTGAGTAAGAACGATCTTCGGATTGTCACGGGGTTTTTAACAGGACACTGTCTCCTCAATGAACACCTCAGTAGATTGAAACTAAGAAGAAACGGCGAATGCAGATTGTGTGGGGAAGATGGGGAAACACCAGTACACCTCATCACTGAGTGCGCCGAGACGACAACCATTCGTGCCATGAATTTTGGTACGACTGATATTGGAGATGGAGAACTACCCTCTATAAAACCGTCCCAGATACTGGCTTTTGTCAAAGCCCTGGGACTGTATGATGAGTTATGATTCAAGAAAGGGGGACACGATGGATCTGTAAGGTTGAAGTGATTAACCCCCCTCCCACTCATTCTAAATTCTAAAATTCTAAATGAAGTACATATACAGCGTGGCGTACTAAAGTTAGAGTTGATGCAATGACTAAAGAATACAAGGACAAATAACACCCAAGACTAAACTGTGACCATTCTTCCAAACAGTGCACATATTTTTCTTAACATAGCCGCTTGAAACGATATTTATATTTTTGATAAATGTTTTGACTACGCCTATGGTGTATGCGATGGTATCGTACTAATTAATTACGAAAAAACATTAAAATATTAACAAAAGGTACCAAACTAGTATCGACGTATAGCACATATCAATGTCAGAATAATAATTATCGAATTCAATAAAAAAAAAACGCTAAAAAGGCGGAGTGGACTGTTTTTTTTCTCTATGAAACGTAACTCCTGGCTCTTTCTTATTATTGCGCCTTTTACACATTTTTTACGAATAATCGATATATTGATATCATACTTGGTATTTTGAGTCAAATTGTCGTTATGAACCGCATGTTACAATTTCAAATAAACCATATGCAAAAATATCAAAAGTTGACATATGATATGCCATTCTATTCAGAGTGTCATTTTCTATCGAACAAAGTAAAAAAATACCCAGGGTGCAATTTAGAAATCAAAAGTTGTAGTCATTTCCGGTGAAACCGGAAGTGACCGAAGGCAATTAAATATGTCAATCAATCCTAATTTATGTCATATACTAACATACCAAATCTCGTTGTTTTATCTGAAAAAAATAAAAAAATTATAGGGGTGAGCCACTTTTGAGGCGCACCCGGTTAAGGAGCTAATTTATTTATATTCCAATCGATTTCAGCACCAGCACCGGCAAAACTGGTGGCGGTTGCATTTGAAAAAAGAAAATAATTAGAAAATTTCTTTCAAAACGCTGGTTTTTTTCGTGATACCCTGTATATTTTCGGGACCCAACGCTACCCTGTATATTTTCATATAAAAAAATTCACTGTCTTTATTTTTATTAGATTCTTTAAAATTTTTACTTAAATAGTAATTTTAAATTAATTTTTACTAACTTTATACTTATTTTTATTTTTTCGTTCTTAATAGGGGATGTGCGCAAGCGCGTTTTGACGTAAGCACCAGAATTCTGTAAATCCATAAAAAAGCAATTTAAAAAACATTAGGAAATTGGTCAGAAAGAAAAGTTCCAATTTTTATATGATTCTACGATTCACCAAACCAAACCAAAATTAAATGATTATATCTCATTTTGCTATTTAATGTTTTCGTCTTCCATCCTTCCCTATTGATTTAGGGCGCCGTATTTTACTGTCGAGCGCAGCGTTGCCACGTCGTCGTTCAAAAAATCGGATTTCAGTAAATTCATACCATAAATAGAAATTGAAAAATGATTTCAACACGTTTACTTACAGTAAGTAACACAGAAATAAGAAAATTTCTTTTTAAAATAAGCATTTCTATTATTGTTAAATTCTGCAATATGAAAATGCTTGTCTTTTTTGTGTACAGACACAATGAGATGAATATTACTGAAAATATACACATAACATAAATTTTGTTATTTCTATCATAATTTGGATACATGTGATTGACATTTCTTTGTTATTGAAATATACATTAATCCTACTAAAATATATTTAAAAAAGTTAAAAAAACACTTTTTCTTATATTGATTAAAATAAAAAAATACACTTTCGCAAAATAAAACACTAATTCACCACAATACACCAAAACACTTTTAACACTGTACGCGCGTTTTGCTAAGTCTACTTTCGCTGCTCAAATTAGTGTTTAATTAATTTTAAATTATTAACCTCTATGCAATGATTATTATAAAAATGTGTTGAGGAACACAAGCTTTATCTGCTCTGCCATATTTTCTGTCCGTCTGTAACACGATAATTCAAAAACCGCTAAACCGATTTTAACCAAATTTGGCACAAAAATACTGTGGTACCTGAGAATCTGGCCATTAGTTTTTGGTGGGGGTGGGTGGTTGTTAAAGGGGTATGGGAGGGGGTTAAAAATTTTAAAAAATCGTAACTTCAAAATTACAGTAGCTAGTGAAACGCTGTTTTCAATTTAAGATTAGGAATAATATTTGCAACGAAATTTGTAATAACATCAAAATCAGTCAAAGTCGCAGTTTTTAAGATATTCCGTGTTTCCTAGTCCGTTTTTGAGAAAATCCGTGTGGAGAACTCCAAACTCCCATCGGACGCGACCCCAGGTGGCGGATAGGGGAAATAACCGCGGACCAAAATTGGAAAAATTCCTTTACTTTGAAACTAAAAGAACCAAACCAACTCTTTATTAACATATATTTTAGTATTGGCGGCTATACGTGCCGCCCGGCGCCAATTTTTTAGTTTGCTCAACACATTTTTTATTACAATCCTTATATGAAATTTCATAAATACCCGGCCTTTTCGGTGAGGTGTTTTACTTAATAGTTGCTGTAATTTAATATTAACGCTACACAAATTTATAATTGACATTCTCAAACATTCTTTTAAACCACGAGTACATAATGAAACAATATTGAAACAGAAATTAACGATCGTGGTAAATTAATGTTTTATTTTGCTGTTGTAACACCAAGAGTTTCAACCCCAACTGGATTCTTATATACTTTCGGTTGGAACATTAATTCAATAAAAATAATGATCTTCTGGGAGTCGTATGGTTGGTTTATGGGTCTTGAGGGTGATATATATAGCGCCGCACTCTATATCACATCAAAACCTTGGGAAATGCCCGAAGTCTAAACGGACGGACCAACAAATCCTACCTCTACGTCCTTGTCGTGACTCCTGGGCAATGAGTGGCGTACAGTGGGTGTGCGTTACATAGCTAACGGAGGAGGGTGACGGCGAATTTCCGGCGCCTAAAAACTGGAACCTTGCGGCTAAGGAAATAAACCCCTACAGAAAATTCTGGTCCTCCAGGTTGGGGGTTGAGGCGTTAGACTAGCAACTTCTAACACTTGGAAAACAAACAAACGCTAAAAAGCCAAACATGTTGCCTCGGAATCAGGACGGAAATAACGGTAAACGAAATACGCTACGAAAACGGACATTGAGAGTAGGTACCTGGAATGTTCAGGGAATTTCAACTAAAACAAATGAAGTTGCGGGCGAAGTTGCTAGATATAAAATGGATATTATCTGTTTAACAGAGACGAAGAAAAAGGGTCAGGGCAATACGATGCTAGGAGAGTATATGTATATTTGGTCAGGTGTGGAGAAGTCCGAACCAAGTAAGGCGGGCGTGGCAGAGTCGAACAGAGGGGCCTTAAGTGGTTTGGACACTTGCTACGCATGGAACACCAAAGATGGCCCTACCGTATCTACAGCTGGTCACCTTCTGGAAAAAGGAAACGAGGACGGCCTAGAAGATCCTGGAATGAGGCCATCAGAAGGGCAATGGAGGACCGTAACTTGGAGGAGGAAGATGTTCTTGATCGCATCAGGTGGCGGTTAGGCGTGGGGATGCGATGTTAGTTGTGACACCCTGGAGTATATATATAATCATCTTCTATTTTAGTTGAAGTGATTCTAGTAAGAGGTTAATATAACAAAAAAATTTAAATTTGAAAAAGGATTTTTTTGTGCATAACATCTAATGGTATGATTATCATTTATTTATTTTTTATTTTACATCATCTATACTAGTGATGAGCCAAACCGTGATTTTCTGTTCACAGGCTTACCTGTGACAGCGACTTTGTATTATCTGTGACTCTTAACTGTGACTGCGACTTTATGATTATGAATCCGAAATCGCAATCACGGCTAAAATATAAGATACGATACGAATGATACGATTCTGTTGTTGTTGTTATACTAATTTGTATTTGTCCTTTATCCAAGGCCGCTGAAATAGAAAACACTAAACAGTGGGTAAAAGGTATATTAAAAAATAAAAATAAAACAATTTTTTTATTAAAAAAAACCAACGGGAAAAGAATAAAATATGCAATATGCTCATAACCATAACGAACGAAACTTAACAACACGAGATAAGTAATACATTAAACAACAAATATTTTCCTTTGTATTAAAATAAACGAAATATATAAAAAATGAAGTTTTTTAAAAAAAATAAACAGTATAAAGGTAAAACTTTATGTTTGGCTTTAAAAAAACCTGCTAAACTAAAAAGGAACCAAACCGATTCGTAGTGAAAAAAAATAGTAATAAAATATAAAATACATAAAAAATTAAATCACTTCTAACAGTCACTGTCTTTAGATCACTTTGTCAGATATCTATCCTATGAGACGTACGTCGTGACTCGTGACTGTGAACTGAGTCACGACTGGCGCCATCGGCAGCTGCGTTGGCGACGCGCGACGTCCCGCTCTGTGAAGTATTTTCTCGTTGCCAGAGAAATCACAATTAACTGTAATCGTCACGCTTTAGCAAGTCACCGTTTATTTTCAAATCAGTCACAGGCCGTGACTGTGATTATAGAATATCAGTGACAAAGTCACAGTTACCGATATTTCACTCATCACTAATCTATACTAATATATAAAATCCTTAAGTGACGATCCTGCTCAAACCACTTAACGTAAGAAGCTCAATTTTTGCATACAGGTTGATTCTAGGGTGTAGAGGTTCGATAAGAAGGGATTTTTCGAAATTCCAGTTCCAAGGGGCTGAAACCACCCCTCAAATATTACAATATTTGTTATTTAAAAAAGGTCAAGTTTCCGAAAAAACGCTTAAACACGTATATTTTATTTTGTTTTTTTACATATTTTAAGATTTTTTAAAAATGTATACAGGGTGTTTCAAAAAATCTGGTCATTGAGTAATCACGATCCTGCTTAAAGCGCTTGACGTAAAAAGCTGATTTTTGGAAAACGGATTGACTTTAGGGTGTAGGGGTTCGATAAGAAGGGATTTTACGAAACTCGAATTCTAAGGGGGTGAAACCACCCCTCAAATATTAGAATATTTTTTATTTAAAAACCGGTGAGTTTTTCGGAAAAACTCTTAAACACGAATATTTTATTTTGTTGTTTTACATATTTTAAGATTTTTTAAAAATTTATACAGGGTGTTTCATAAAATATGACCATTGAGTAATCACGATTCTTAAAGAATCATACAGGGTGTTCCAAAAAGTTGGGTAATTGATTAACCACGATTCTGCTTAAACTGCTTGACGTTTAAAGCTGATTTTTGGTAAACGGATTGACTGTGGGGGGTAGAGGTTCGATAAGGAGGGGTTTCTCGAATCTCAAATTCCAAGAGGATGAAAACGCCCTTCAAATATTACAATATTTGTTATTTAAAAAACGGTTAGTTAATGGGAAAACGCTTGGACACGCATAATTTATTTTGTTTTTATACATATTTTGAACATTTTTGAAAAATCATACAGGGTGTTCCAAAAAGTTGGGTAATTGATTAACCACGATTCTACTTAAACTGTTTGACGTAAAAAGCTTATTTTTGGCAAACGGATTTTTCGAAAGTCAAATTCCAACGAGATGAAACTACCCCTCAAATATTACCAAGTTATATAATAATATCGCCATATTGTTTTTCTCATGCTGACATAAATGTGAGAACATTTTATCCAGTTTGTATGTTAATGGAAATTCTTGCTTTGGTTTATCATCACCATTACAAATTGTTAATTCGACGCGAACGAAGTCGCAGGTACACGTTAGTTAGCTATATAACTTTTTTAAAACCCAAAAAACAATATGTAGAAAAATCTTTTTAAAATGCATTTTTTTCATTTTGTCTCATCAAGATGCCCTTCTTTCAGATTAATGTCAACAAAAAAGTTATGTAAACATACAGAGTATAAAAGAATCTTCTTAAGAGGATGGAGTACTTAATTTATTATTAATCACTTTTTTTTACCCCTTAATACCCCGGAATACATTCACCCTAGGTTCATTAACCTTTTTATGACAAAATTGTTTAAAAAAAATATTGATTTTTTGCAAAATTAGCAACTGTAATATTAAAATATTTAACTTAACTTTACGCATATAAGTATATCAATAATTTTCTTCCTTAAAAAATCTTTGATTTCAAGAAATATGCGAGAACTGGCAACGTTGCCCTGTCAATTTTCCCTTCGTTCTGATTTTCCACGGGTTGAAAATCGGGCGATGCAAACCTGCCCGTTCTCTATTTCGAGGTTTTATATTTCGTAGCTTTTCTGACACTGAATTTTTTATACAAAATTGAACTCGTTGATGTCGTTTGTGCCTAGATCCGATTAATTGTTACACTAGCGAATTGACGTCGTTTTTTTAAGGTGGAATAATCTTGCGTGTGCGTTTTCTAGCCTTATAAACCGGGTACATCGAAAATCATTTTAAATAAGATAGTGTTTTGATTTAATTAATTCTAAATAATATAGTGATTTTTCTGCTTGGGACACTGGGTATCGTATTCTATTGAATCATATTAGATTAGTGTTAAATGCAAGAGACAATTATGTAATGGCTTTATACGTGGTTCAGTCCGGTTCATCATGACAGATCTTGGAATGGTACTTACTATGTTTTAACTCTTTTAATTTTCTGTTTAGTTTTTTTTTCATTTTTATTGACATATCTATACATATTATATTTCTTCAGTTACTTCTTCTTTCCATCTTCAATCGCAAATAAGATAATGAAAGTTATAGTAGATTATTGCGTAGATATCTTCATTCAATATATAGTGTGTGCAGTAAATTTATATACATATGGAAGAAATTTTATTTTGAAGTTTCTCAGTAATTTATATTTTTGATAAATGTACCGTATGGTCGAAAAAAAAACGGCGTCAAATGACAATCGATGATACTTTTGTCTATGTCAATCTCTAGACGACTAAAAATTGACGCAAAACTTCTCCAAACTTAACATTAATTATAGAAAGATTAAAAAAGGATAGGATAGCGTTTCCAGGCATAAAAATCTATTTCCAAAAAATATTTCTTCTCGAACTTTAAACTACAGCATTTAAAAATCATTTTTACTCACATAACAAAAATAAATTATAAAATGCCATTAAATGCCGTCTAGGGTTTGACCTCGCCAAAATTATTATCGATTGTCATTTCCCAGGCTGTTTGACGACTTTTTTTTCGATTGTATGGTATTTGTATCTCAGAAAACTCGTCAAAATTTAAGTAGATATGTTGTTTTATGATCAAGAGAAGCTTAAAAAATGTGGTATAATTATTTAAAATAGAAAATACACATACAACAATGTTATTAATAAAAGTTGTTTAGTCCCAAAAGTAGATGTCATATACCGGGTGATTTAAATTCAACTCTTACCATTGAGACCTCGGAAACTGTGACAAATACAGAGTGGTTCAAAATAATAATCCGTTACTTTGAGTAAATTCCATCATAAATTCAATTCGAAGATCAATTTTATTACAATAATCAGTTTCACAACATTTTTAATTAATCAATAATAAGATTCATTCTTATTGTTGGAGTTGTTGTCGGAGTGGTCAATTATTTCATCTACATAGATTTTAATTCCAAAATAAACTGGAAAAAACCTGGAAATAGTTCTTTATAAAACATACCTTTCTATACTTTTATATCGATCAAAGCATGCCCCTTCATTTCATCTAACGGAGTTATTTAACTTTTAGTTTTTTCTTAGCAATAAATTGGAATTAAACAAGCGTTACTATCACTGTTAAGTTACTACACATGTGATACAATCAGCCTTCAATTTGTATATGATCAATTTACCCGACTAAACATAAGGTTTGTTCCTTATTGCTGACTTTCTGCATTAGTGTACACTTTCTATAGGCTTGGTGTATTCTCTGCCGGTGCTGCCACTATCGGAGAATATCATAAACAACTGATATATACAAATATCCGGGTTTAAATAGTGAATCTACGAAAAATTTATTATATAATATTTCTAAAAATGTTGGGCAGTATAATTTGTGAAAATTCTAAGAATAAAAATAAAAAAGTAAGTATTTTCATATCTTTAGAAGGTCTAACTTGTATTAAAATTTATTATTCCAGTTAAAAACTTTTTAGATGAGTTCAACTACGGTAGCGAGCATAGTTTTACGCACTGGTTTTGCTACTGGGGTCGTAATTGGGGCTATTTCGGCTATAACGAAATTTTTTAAAGGTATATAATTATTATAATTTTAGATGTTCACAAAACATTTAATCACTAGTTGATTAAAAAAAGTATACCTATAATATTGCAAATTATATTTTATCCTCTCATAGTATATGTCTATTTAATTTTTTGAGTTGACAGTTTCGTCGAACTGTTTGAATCCATTTTTGCTTTTGTTCAAACCGGTGTGAGAAACTATGAAGCTATAAAATGTTGTTTCGGGAGAGTTGAATATCTGGGAAAGTTGAGTTATTGAAGGCTGTTGCACCCAACAACGCCCTAATTACGCTCTCCTTTACGCGTTAACTTTTTTTCGCCAATTTTATTAACATTTGAAATTGTCACAACACAACGCCTAGTTCGGATTTTTTTTCACTTATTTTTTACTACTCGAAACAGTGTTACATCACACAAACCTCATACCTGAGTGTTTTGTAGTTTCAATAACTGCACTAGCAAAAAACTAAAATAATTAAATATTATGACAAAGTCACGATTTCAATATTATTTTAATGCGATCAACATAAACTGTAACCGGGACGGCGCGGCGTGAAATACATAGCGAAAGTTTCTGATTTCTGCCGTATACAGCGCTGCGGTCGGAATTTTTTGAAATCAACTGCAATGTACCAAGCCTATACCCAATGTTCATTATTACGATTTGATAGAACTCAAATTGATTACGTCAGATCACAATAAAAACATTTGGCTAACGAAGTGTACACTAAAGCAGACAAACAGTCCTCCGATAAAGATCAAACCTGTAATAATTAGTGACCTAAGAAGACTAGACTTAACCAGCTGCGCACAAGATGGCTTGGGGTTACTGGAGCGCCACCACTGTGTCCGACAGGGGGCGTAGTCCTCGCCGTAACAAGGAATCGGAAAAATCCAATTCACATTCTTCGCATTCGTCGTCGCACGAACGAAGGGAGGTGGTCAAGGCCGTGGAGGAACCGCCTCCAACCACGCACCAGAACTACACTACGGTGATCCCGAACACTTCTACCTCTCAGATGACAGCGGCGGAGTTGGAGGATGTCGTTTCTGAGCATCAATTGTCCAGGTGAGTACGTGTATAGTAGTAGTCTCCCTTTTTTGAGTTATAACTCATCATACAGTCTCAGGGCTTTGAGAAAAGCCAGTATCTGAGACGGTTTTAAAGAGGTTAGTTCTCCATGTCCAATGTCAGTTGTACCAAAGTTCATGGCACGAATGGTTGTCGTCTAGGCGCACTCAGTGATAAGGTGTTCTGGTGTTTCCCCATTTTCTCCACAGAATCTACACTCGCCGTTGTTTCTTAGTTTCAATCTACTGAAGTGTTCATCAGGGTTGCCACAAGCTACACAATTATGTACTTTGCTACACATTTGCTTCAATGATTGCACAGCTACACCACAATCGCCTGAGCTACACATTTTGAGAATTTATATATTTCTTATAAAAAATAATACCAGAACAGTAAATCAGCTGAAAAAAGCTGATCTTTATGCTTTTAAATTATCCAAGTTAGTACATGAAAATAATCCGCAAGTGTACTTTAAATTTTGAACTGATAAATATCATTCTTCGTTATCAGTGTTCAGTAGTTTAGTAAAATGTCTTCAAGGATACCTTAAATAATACATAACACGTACTTTGGTCAAATTTCACTGCTTAATTACGTCACGGTAGTTCACAGTTTCACGTCCACTCTTTTGCATACGTGAATATTACTCAATTCCTATTTGACTTCCTCCCATGTCAGCAAGGACTGCAGTTTCTATGGACAAATTTTTTTCTATGGACGATTAAAAACCGGTCTAATTTGTCCATTAAATCGTTAGTTTTGTGGCATCAATTTTGACGTCACTGCAATATTTGCTGGCATGAGAGGAAATGAAATGGGAAATGAATATATTGACGTATTCAAACAAGTGGAACTGAGACTCGTAATCATGCTTTAAAATTTGGTGAACATACGTCATATTGGATGTAGAATGTAGAATGTTTAGGAGGGGAGTTAATCACCGCGACCTTACAGATCTTGTGTGTTTCCCTGTCTTGAGTTATAACGAGTTATAACTCATCATACAGTCTCAGGGCTTTAACAAAAGCCAGTATCTGAGACGGTTTCACAGAGGCCAGCTCTCTATCCTCGACTTCAGTCGTATCAAAGGTCATGGCACAAATGGTCGTCGTCTCGGCGCACTCAGTGATAAGGTGTTCTGGTGTTTCCCCATTTTTCCCACAGAATCTGCATTCGCCGTTGTTTCTCAGCTTCAGCCTACTGAGGTGTTCGTTGAGGAGACAGTGTCCTGTTAGAAACCCCGTGACAGTCCGAAGATTGTTTTTATTTAAATCAAGGAAAACCTTTGATTTTTCTCGGTCGTAAGTTCTGAGGAACTTTTTCGAATGTCTTAGACCGTTGCCTCCAACGGTCTAAGACATTCGAAAAGGTGTCCTCACACCCATTCCAAGTTACGGATGGAGTCTTCCAGATTCTTCAGTTCCGCTTTCAGTTGGTTCCCGTTGGGAAAACAGAACGGTTCTGGTCCAGTTAGTGGAGTGTTCACTCCGTTTCTAGCTAGATCATTTGCTTTTTCTTTGCCTTCTATCCCTTGGTGAGCAGGCACCCAGAGTAGGAGGACTTTATTTTCTTTGCCTAATTTCTTGAGCTTCTCTAGGCATTCTTTGACTAACTTCCAATTGATGGTTACTGAGTTCATCGCGTTTAGTGCTGCTTGACTCTCGGATAGGATGGCAATTTCCTGTTTCGATAGTTCCTCTAAGATAAATTGTACGCATTTTTCGATAGCGTAAATTTCTGCCTGAAGGATACTGGGGTAGGTGCCCATTGGCTCGGAGTATTTAGTTTTAGGCCCAGATACTCTCCTATCCCTGTCCCTGCTTTGGTTTTGGAAGCATCAGTATACCACGTAATCGTATGGTCTTTTACATGCTGAGTAAGCGTTTCTTCCTTCCAATCCTTTTTATTACTCAATACTACCTTAATTCCTTCACTAATATCTGAGCTAATACCTTAATTCATAATGGATAGTTTACAGTTATTGCTACATATTTTTATGATCGTATCTTTTAGCGAATTCTGTGTCATCTGATAATCAAATCAATATCTGTCATGTGGTAATCAAAAGTCTAGTTCTACTAATTTCTCTATTAATACTAAAATATTAAAAGGTTTCAATTTATTTTCTAAAACCGGTTCATCAAAAGAAAGATGAGAGAAATGAATATTTTATAGGAATATCTCTTATTTCTTGTTGGTTTTTTAACGAGTGTAAGTTAAAACAATTAGTTACAAAATAGTTATTTGTGTAACTAGTGCAAAAAAGACATATTTGTTGCACGACGTATGAGTTTTGCAGCTTGAGACGAAGTGGAGAGTTGCAATCATGCTGAATGCAACAAATATGCTTTTTGCACATGTTGCACACAACATTTTTTCTACGATTGAATTGAAATTTTTATTTAAATGGTTATTAAAAAGTTTTTACAGTAATTCACAGAATAATATTACCACTAACAATGACACTTTTATTTTTTGTAATAATTTTTCTTTCAGTTTATTTTAATGTCGCAGTAAACTTCATTTCCAGTAGTCTTGAATTTTATTCTCATTTCTGCTGGTGGAGGTCTCGGGTTCTGCACTTAAGACTCTTTTCCGGAATGTTGCTGCGAGGTGTCCAGTACTGGTTTATCTTCCAGGATTTGACAAATTTTTACAAAAATTTACATTTTTATTTCTTTAGGTAAAGTCGTCATCAATAATGTCAAGGTGTTTTTGACTTTTAATGCAGTAGATAGTGTAAAAAGTAACTACTTTTTTCACGATTGTAGAAAAACTCTTTTATTATGTATTTTTAATGAATCTGCAATAATCCATCATAAAATTATTAAGAGAGGCCATAAAATCGTATTTACAAATTAGGAGAAAACTTCCTCTTTTGTCTTCGTTGATTAATTAAGATTAATTGTAGATGCAAACGACGTTTTCTCGGTAATAAATTTCAATTTTGAAAAGATTTTCCGTCCGTTCCCAACAATTAACCGTATAACTCATTCCGCACTGCACAAAATCGATGCTTTCTGTATTTTATTCGTAATAATTTTACAGTTTTTAGTTAAGTAGAAGTGGAAAAGTTCTTAATAAATAAAAAAATCGATTTTTTTCAACGGGGTAATCTAGAAAATCGACAATCGAAATCTTTCAAATTAAATATCTCGGAAACTAACACAGTTTATTTAAAAGTAGCAAAAAAGCGTTAGCCATTTAACGTTTCATGTAAAACTGGCTAGGTGTTTTTACACAAATGAAGAAGGAAATTAGAGATAAAGGATTATACTATATCCGTATTGTAGCACATTTTTAGACAACTTCTTTATTTTTAAGATTTTGATGGTCAAACATCAACAAAATATTCCTTATGTTTGGACTAGATTTTCTCGAAAATAAAGGCATAATAATATGGACATAGATTGAAGTTTTGTGATTCCAGTGATATATAATCTATATGGTTTTGTAACAAAATGCTCGCTATTTTATGGCAAATGCTGAAGCTCTGCAAACCTTAATCAAAGCACGTGTTTTTGGAATTTTGGGTATGGCCTAACATGACAGGATCGGGCTAAGCCTTGATTTCTGAAATAATATATATTTCCTTCGGCCACACATCCGCTTTACCCGACCCCTGAGTGACCCGAAAGTACAGCGTAATAGACTTTTAAATGAGGCGAATATAGAGCTTCACTAGCTCTATCCGTAGATGCCTCACTAGTCGTTTAGCTACTTACCGTTTCCGAGAGGAAACATCTTATTTTTATTTACACCTTTATTTATTTTTTTTTGCTGGTATAATTTAATGTAGCGACCAAATACCAAAATTTTCGAAGAGACTTCCACGCTTAATTTCAACGTTAACACCAGTTTAAAATTATTTAGAATCATAAAAAAAGTTCTCGTAAAAAAACTCACGGGATTTAATATCTCAACCGGACTATTACTCTTAAGAGTCTATTACCACAGATTAGGTATACTATATATATACAGATAAAAATGTTGTCCCTAATTCGTTGTACGAAAATTGTGTTTTTTATGACGATGTGCAAACGAGTAAAATTTTCCGTGCGCAAAAATAAACTTGCGTTTAAACAGCCTAATGACTGGTCAGGTCAGGCGTTGTGCACAGTTTTAGAGGCCATAAGTGGGCGTGCTATGTGCGCAAACTAGTAACCTAATTAGTGCGCGACTCCGAAAATTGGAACCACAAAAAGCAATGCTTTTGACGATAAGTTTATAATCTGTATAATCTGTGCTATTATGCTGTACTTCCGGCCGCTCTCCGAGGTCGGGTAAAGCGGGTGTGTGGCCAAAGGAAATATATATTATAGTTCAGAAATCTGCCCGAATTCAGCTTAGCCCGATCCTGTCGTGTTAAGCCACACCCAAAATTCCAAACATACGTTCTTTGAGAGCTTCAGCATTTGTCACAAAATAGCGAGCAATTTGTTACAAAACCATATAAATTATATCTATATATCACTGTAATCACCATGCTTCAATCTATTTCCGTATTGCAACGGAATTTTAAATTATGTCTTCATTTTCGAGAAAATTTAGTCCAAACATAAGGAATATTTTGTTGATAATAATTATCAACAAAATATTCCTTATGTTTGGACTAAATTTTCTGGTCAATTATTGACCATCAAAATCTTAAAAATAAAGAAGTTGTCTAAAATGTGCTACAATACGTATATAGTACAATCCTTTATCTTTAATTTCCTTCTTCAGTTGTTTAAAAATTCCTAGCCAGTTTTACATAAAACGTTAAATGCCGAACGCTTATTTTGCTACTCTTTCGAACTAGTGAAATGGAATCTTAAGAACGGTTTATCTAGTACTAAATTCAAACTTCTAGTGAATATAGAAATACAATTTCTTTATCTTAAGAATTTTCTGTACTTCTATTTAGGCGTCCAAGTTTAGACCTGGGTGCCATGATGGGGCCTCCGAACACTTTAGCTGGTATACTCTGCCACGCCCACGGAAGTAGACATGGCGGTACATTATCTGCCGGAAATACCCTAACCAGAATCGGAAGTAGGCACACTGCTGTCGAATATGCCGTTCCACATCATTTCCATCATCATCACGCGTACGTGGAGTACCACCAAAGCCATCTGTCTCTTTCTGATGATGACAGCAGTTCTGAACCTGGCTACGACTCTATAAGAGCAGGTAAAGTATATTTTAAAAATTAGATACATTAATATACAGGGTGGGCCAAAAAATACTGTTTCTATCATATATCGAGGGGGAATATATATGACGTATTTTTTGAACTACCCCGACCTACCCCTTAGGCGGCACCCCTACTCACTTGAAAATCTTAAATGGCAACACCCCACTCGTGGCGCCTTTTTGGAAAGCCCATGAAAAATGCTAAACGATGATCATAAAGTTTTTAGGGTGAAATTGAAAAACTAGCCCTTACACGAAAAATTAGGTGGACATTAATGAAAAAGGTGATTAAGGTGATTTTTTCAGCATAAAATACAAATTGGGACCCGGCTAAATAAGGCAAATGAGGTATTTTTCAAACCACCCCAAACCACCTCTAGGTGCCACCCCCTCTCTTCTAATCTCAAGATAGCGATACCCCACTTGTGACACTTCTTTGGAAAGCTAATTGAAATTGCTAAACGATGGTCATACAGACTTCAACTTACTTACTGGTAAGTAGTGATAAGAAATGTAGGTGTGACAATTTGAAAGAAATTTAAAATGATAATTTATTTTAACAATTGCTCAAAATGACAGCCGTTTTGTTCCATACAAAAATACAAACGATTTTCAAATTCTTCTCTCACTTTTTGGAAAGTCTCTCTCGGAATATTTCGACATGATTCAGTCTTGTAAACTATGGATTTAGTGTAACCCCACAAGAAAAAGTCTAAAGGAGTAAGATCAGGTGACCTTGGCGGCCACTCTATTAGACCCCTTCTGCCAATCCATTGCCTTAGATAATATTTATCCAACGACTGCCTTGTGACAATAGAATAATGCGGAGGGGCTCCATCATGCTGAAAGTGTATGAGGTCTTCATTAAGAGTTATAATAAATTTCTCTGTACCAGTTTTTTTTGCTCGCAATGGTACAAGGATACAAAAATAATTCATTCTATTGATTTTGACACGTTTTGACAATTTTTTTTAAATTTATAGCTCCTTTTTTTGTTCTTTTTTATGAGAGTCGTTCAGCATTTTTATACGCTTTCCAAAGAGGTGTCACAAGTGGGGTATCGCTATCTTGAGATTAGAAGTGAGGGGGTGGCACCTAGGGGTGGGTCGGGGTGGTTTGAAAAATACCTTATTTGCCTCATTTAGCCGGGTTCCAATTTGTAATTTATGTTGAAAAAATCACCTTTTTCATTAATGTCCACCTAATTTTTCGTATAAGGGCTAGTTTTTCAAATTCACCCTAAAAACTTTATGATTATCGTTTAGCATTTTTCATGGGCTTTCCAAAAAGGCGCCACAAGTGGGGTGTTGCCATTTAAGATTTATAAGTGAGTAGGGGTGCCGCCTTAGGGGTAGGTCGGGGTGGTGAAAAAAATACGACATATGTATTCCCCCTCGATATTATAGAAACGATATTTTTTATTTTTTTTATATCTTTTTTGGTTTAAAAATTATAGCCATTTTAAGTTTTCAGTGGCCCACCCTGTATATCGTGATTAAGCTTGACCGGCACAGCGTTGCCCACTTTTACATATTTTCTTTTAATCAAAATATTTTAGGAAACAAAAATAAATTAATTATAAATATATAAACAGTTATTATTTACATCAACAAAACTCACCTTCTTAACAGCACTTAAGGGACAAAAGGGCCATTACTACCGCTTTTACTTTCCCGTTCAAAATATTCTAAATAAAGTTGCGATGAGTTTTTTGCATTGGCTATTAAGCTATCTTGTACACTTCATACTGAAAGAGGTTCTAAAAAGAACAATGTTCGACTGCAAGGTCTGCTAGTAAACATTTTGTAGCTTAAAGTATCACCATAGTATAAGGAAACTAGTAGTTTTACTTCTTGTCAAATCCTTTGTTCTTTTTCTGCCACTTTATATGACCTTGTTCTCGCCTCCGTAGCCGACGACGTCGCTGTATAGTCGTGGTCTATTAACTAGGCAAAGTATAGACGTGGCACTCGCCATAGTTTCACGGATATGTATTTAGGAAAATATGAGTTCACAATAAAATAAAATAAAAAAAATGATCATCGAGTATAAACTTGCTTGAAAACAGAATATTTTCACATTTCGTGTAGGTAACAATTCTTCTGTATCTGAAAATCTTCTGATGGGAAGAAATGCGGAAAAAATATATAATGACATATTTTTATATTATTATCTATTTCAGAGATTTTGTACGACTTTTTTTTTATTTAAAGCAAGTTTAATTTTCTGTAGATAACTGGATTCGGCATAAAATTATGCTATAGTACACTGTCGGTGTTGCCAATCTATTTCTTATTTACTAAAACTTTGGTTAAAAACATTATATACGAAAAGTGGTAAAAAACTAGAGTGAATATAACTTTATTAATACTTTGCTATGTTTTCTTAAACATGAATGATATCGGAATAAATTCGTGTAGAAAAATTTACTTTATCATATACAGGATATTTTTTATGGCGTCACCAAAATCGTAATATTTAAAAATTGTTGTATCTCATTTTTTTTAAATGCAACACCTTGTATATTATTTTTCTTTCAGATGTAGAATTAAAAGGTGAACATTTTTTGACAAGACAAGATAGACAAAGATCATATTAGGTGGCTTTGAAAAAAAATTACTGTTGAAAGAGCCATATGTAATCTAATACTGCGAATATCTGCGACAGCGGTAAAAAATTAGAAACACTTTAAATTAATAAAAAAATGTTCACTTTTTAATTCTGCATCTGACAGAAAAATAATATACAGAATGTCGCATTTAAAAAAGTTGACATATACCATTTTAAATATTGCGATTTTGGTGACGCCATAAAAAATACCCAATATAGAATAATGTATATAGAATGATGTAAAATAATAAAAAAAATCAAACCAACTTTACCATAACTTTTTTTGTGACACCCTGTATATGACAAAATATTTTAGGATACACCCCTTTATAAACCTTGAAACATATGAATAAATTGTTTTCACATCTTCGACAACGACGACGATATTGGACTTCCTCGCACTAATGGGCCACCCTGTATATTTATGGTGGTTTAAAGCTAGGTGTGGCACTTTTCTTCCCTCAAATATAAACTCAATATTTTGTCTATAATATTTTGAATATTGTTATATTACGACCACTTATAATAAAAAATAAATAAAAAAAAACATAAAAAAATACAGTCCACTAAATTTATAAGAGATTATGCTATTATAAAATTCTTTCAATTAAAACATATGAATAATTTGCAGAGACTTTAGATGTACAAAATATTTACACTAAAATTGTATCAAAAACCAATTTATATAAATTATCTCGTAAATTATTACTGGAATGAAAATTTTATGGAAAATCCCCTGACCAAAAAATATTTTCATGCGCATATTTGAGACAACCTGTATATATAAAAAACTATTTTTAAAATCTGCATACATGCTAAAAAAAATAATAACATTTAATTAATTACATAATATCTCAGCTTCTAAAATAAACAAATATAATTAAATGTTAATTGATAATTACTATCAGCTTGCCGATTTACATCCGATGGAAATCTAAAAAGACTCAAAGAACAATTTTTTGAATTATTTCCACAATTAATACCAGCGCACAGCCTTACTGTGCGCTGGTATTACTCATTTTTTGTCAATCCGTCCCTGTGCTCGGGCGCAACGCTCGAACCTCACAGCTCGACGGACGGAATTCAACTGAAACGCTTTGCAAGCTACCGATATTCGACAGCTTGCAAAAACTGACAGAAAATATTTGCGAGAGTGCAACTACTCTTTTCCTTAAACTATGGTATCACAACACAATTTATATAAATCAAAAACTCGTAATACCAAACTAAAATGTCAAAACGAATGACAATCTCAGGAAATAAATAAATAAATGCCGCAACTTGACATTTTTTACAGCAGAGCTACCACCTGAATACCCAGCGGGAAATATAAATTCCAGTTAGTCAGCCAGGCAACGAATATTTCCATGGTTGGCAACAATGAATTTAAAAATCGCGCCCTCGATTACGTAACTAAAAGTTTAATTGGTATAGAATATATATATTGATTTGTTATGAATTAATGTATTAAAGCTAAAAAATTAATGATCTACTTATACAAGTTTTTGAATAAATTTTTCATCATATCAGTTAGATGCCGATAGATAAAAATAACTCTAATATTACACATATTATTATTTATAGATAACAATTCAGAAGTGACAGGTCTTATCGGCAAACTTAAATACAGATGTAAATAAAGGCCTGTTATCAGTTAAGTGTGTATTTTTGTGAGTGCTGTTCTGTGAAACTTCCTATCGCGGACATTTTTTCTGGCACACTTTCTTTATTTTGTCGGAACTGTAAGGTTGACGACGTGTAAATGACGATGCGGTGACAAGTGACATAGAGATGATGACGGCCAGGTCATGGATATCGGGACTTGTAGAGACTATAGAGGGGGTGGCGTTTGCCTACGCCAGCCATGTCATGCTCAGTAATATATATTTTATGATTTTAGCAAGTGTTTTGGGTGTCATCAAGTCTCATGAAAATAAGTTACGCTAGAGGAGATCTTAAAAATTTTGATTATAACTGTCAATTCAAGTTCATTTTCATTTAATGTACAGGGTGGTTCAAATTCGACGCTTTTAAATGGAAACACCCTTTTCTATAGGAGATAGACAAAAACTAATATAGGTGTCTGGAGCTCAATTTTTGTCAAAAACATGATTGTGAAAACCGCATATCGATATCTGTTACCGTTTCGGAGTTACGGGGTGTTTTTCAAAAATATGCATTTTTAACAAATTGCTGTAACTTTTTTGCTATGGAAAATGTTGTATTTTTATGAAAACATTTCAAAAGTACCTTTTTACGTAGAATTTAATGGTTTAAGTATATTTTTTTTAAAATTAATAATTTAAGAATTATCAACAGAAAATTTGATTTTTTTTATATGGGACACGCTGTATATTTTTAATTCATTGAAATAATTTAAAATTCGTTCGGAAAGGTTTTTTAGTACCATCGATCATCTACAAAGAATTAAAACAGTCATTGAAAAAACAACAGAATACAATATACCTCTACATTTGGCCTTTGTAGACTACCAAAAAGCCTTTGACAGCATCGAAACCTGGTCATTTCTAGCTGCAATGGAGGACGCGAGAATTGATTCCAGATATTAATCCATTATTAAAAATATCTATGATAGTGCAACCTTCCAAGTTAAATTAGATGATGACCTCAAAACAGAAAAAATACTACTCGGCAAGGGCGTGAGACAAGGAGATACCATCTCTCCCAAGTTATTTACACTGGCACTGGAAAATGTCTTCAAGAAATTAGAATGGGAAAATAGAGGTCTAAACATCGATGGGGTACACCTTAGCCATCTGAGGTTCGCAGACGATATTGTCTTGCTGAGCACCGACATTCAAGAACTAAACACCATGCTAAATGAGCTAAATGACCAATCCCAGAAAATTGGCTTTAAAATGAATTTGAAAAAGACCAAGATAATGAGCAACAATATCCATAACATTACCGTTGACAACGTTATTATTGAAAACGTAGACCATTATATATATATTTAGGTCATAAAATCAAGCTGGGCAAGGAAAACCAAAATACGGAGATCAAACGCAGGATCCATTTGGCATGGGTAGCATTTGGAAATATGAGCAATATTTTCAAGGATAAAAAGGTGCCCATGAACCTAAAGAAAAAAGCTTACGACAGCTGCATTCTACCTGTGCTTACGTATGGCTTAGAGACTATGTCAATTACTCGAAAAACAGCAGAACAAATACGAGTAGCACAAAGAGCCATGGAAAGAATCATGTTGGGAGTCAATATTAGAGAAAAAAATACGGAATACCCACATACGTCAAAAAACAAAATTAATAGATGTCGTTAAAAGAGTGGCAAGTCTGAAGTGGCAATGGATAGGACATGTGGCAAGACAGGATTCAGACCGATGGCCCCAAAAAGTAATCCTATGGAGACCTAGGGAAACAACCAGGAGTATGGGCCGACCAAAAAAGAGATGGGTCGATGACGTCAGGGCAGTGGCGGGAAGACAATGGATAAGATTGGCTAGAGATCGCGAAGCATGGAAAAACCTAGAAGAGGCCTATATCCAACACTGGATGGAACCAGGCTGAGAAAGAAGAAGAAGAAAAGAAGAATTTAAAATTACGTTTCCAAATATTTTTCAGATATTTTGTTCGATTCTCGATTCCTCTTCGAGATATAGAGTTTTTTAAAATTCGCCCACTTTAAATAAGTAGGCTTTGAACGGCGCCGGTTGTAATGCAAAAAAATTGTAGCTGTGGGCAACAATTAAAATGAAAATAATATTTGCAATGAGAGATGCAGAATTTTATAACAATTTAAACTATATTTAATAACATCAACACATTTAAACTAAATAACAATAAAAATTAACAGCAAACCAAGACATAATATTTTGCTGCAGGTGTTCAACATATCGACCGTCTTCTGTTATGGAGAGCCGGGCCATTTTTGAACATTTCTCGCGGAATTCATTAACTCAGTGGGGGTGAAAAATACCCTCGCATAACGGCTAAATATTTCTAATTCTTGTTTATATTATATAGGCAATTTTAAAATATGAACAATTTATTCTTCCGAAAAGATAAAAATTCATAGGAACTAAGTCAGGCGGCCTCGGCGGCCAACGGCTTTTTAGCTACTCAATTATTCTTGAAATTAGGCTCAAAAATTTGTTGATAACTTCAGCGTTCTGAGGTGGTGCCTCGTCTTGCTGGAAAAATATGTTTTCGAGTTCCATTAAGGGATATAATATACATATTATAACAAAATATCAAGTGTGCTATATTTTTGGAAACGTAATTTTAAGTTCTCTTCAGTTAATTAAAATTATACGGGGTATCCCAAATAAAAAATCAATTTTTCTGTTGATAACTCTTAAATTAATAATTTTAAAGAAATTATACTTAAACCATTAAATTCTACGTAAAAAGACGCTTTGGAAATGTTTTCAAAAAAATACAAAATTTTCCATAGCAAAAAAGTTATAGCGATTTGATAAAAATCCAAAATTTTGAAAAACACCCCGTAACTCCGAAACGGTAATAGATATTGATGTGCGGTTTTCACCATCATATTTTGATAAAAAGTGAGCTCCAGACACCGATATTAGTTTTTGTCTATCTGCTATAAAAGGAAAAGGGCGTTTCCCTTTAAAAGCGTCCAATTTGACCCACCCTGTACGGGAATATAAATTCAATATTATTATTAATTTAGTTGGTTATAATGGAAAATGTAAATTTTAGTGATTGCTCTAAGATACAGTTGATATTATACCGTATAATCGAAAAAAAAACGGCGCCCCGTTGGCTTGGAAATGACGATCGATGACATTCTCCACATTTTACATATAAAATGACAGCGATCTTTATTGTTCTGTGTATTTTTTCTGTAGATGATGTATTTTACATTTCATTTAACTTTCATTTTTTCTGTATTTGTTGTATTGTCATGTTGAAAAAAGATTGAATATGCGACAAGGAAGAAACAGATCCATTTTTGTAATAATTTTTGTAGCCTAATATTATGCCTGAATTTGTTGTTACCCCTTAAACAATTTTTTTTATTTATTTTATGTTTTTTTAATTATTTTATACTGTTTGAATTTATAAAGGACTATAGTTTCAATGATAACACTTTGATCAAGTTTATTTTAGATCAAAGGTTCGTATATCTTAGGGTAAAAATATGAGTTTTTGTAAATTATTATCGTAAAATAGATAATAACAATTTTAAGAGAGGTTCAAAGAGTAGAAATAACATTTTATCGCTAACAGGAATTGATGTTGAAGTATTTCATTATACAAACATTTTTTAAGTAATGTAAAGGCATATTTTAGGAAGATATTCTTCAGATACCTATTCCTTTTTTAACTTCTCATAAATACACTATACGATAAAAAAAAACGGCGTTAGAGATGGTTTAGAAATAAAACGCTGTCACCAGACATATAAATATCACACATTAAGTGATTATAAACAAAAACAAAACTAATCTATAAGAAGTCTCCTTGAAATTGAAACTCCCTTTTGTAATTAAATGTACACTGATAATGTCATGTTCAAAAATTATTTAAATATGATACTACTAAGCAAAACATATAAACATTGATTTGTAATTAATTTGAACCTCACTATAATAAGGCTATAATTAGATACATTGCAAACACACACAATCAAAACTCAATAGAATTTATAAAAAAACACAGACATGTATAAAAAGTAGACTGGCTATACCGGGGGTTTCTCAAAAGTGGCTCACCTCTATACCTTATTTATTTTTTCAGATAATAAAAACGAGATTTGGTACTTTAGTATATGACATAAATCAGGATTGAATGACGTATTTAATTGTTTTCGGTCACTTCCTGTTTCACCGGAAATGACTACATATTTTGATTTTTAATTGACACCCTCGGTATTTTTTTGCTTTATTCGATAGAAAATGACACTCTGAACAGAATGACATATCATATGTCAACTTCTGATATTCTCGCATATGGTTTATTTGAAATTGTAACATGCGGTTCATAATGACAATTTGACTCGAAATACCAAGTATGTGGTACCAAATTATTCGTAAAAAAATTCTTTTTTTAAATATGCTAATGAGCCACCTTCGTTCCATTTGAAAAAATTGAGATGTGATTAAAAATACGATTTGGGCATCTTTCAACCGGCAAGACACGAAAAACATTATTAGACGATCAAATCTATTTTCCCAAGGCTTTTTAATTAAAAATTATTGTTTTTAATACAGCCATTATTAAAATTTAAAATACGATTATTTTTTAAGCGAAAATGTCAAAAGTTGACATATGGTATGTCATTCTATTAGAGAGAGTATCATTTTCTATCGCATAAAGTAAAAAAATACCGAGGGTACCGTTTAAAAATCAAAGATTGTAGTTATTTCCCGTGACTGAAAATAATTGAATACTTCAATCAATACTAATTTATGTCATATACATAGATATTAAAATTTTAGAACATGTTGGCTGTTTGATCTTCGAATTTACAGATGTATTGTATATTTATTTTTTAAATATATGAGCATTTTTATCTATTTTTAAATACATTCTAAACTAGTAAAATAATATTATTTGTCTTGACTTTTTTATTAGAAAAATTATAAAGTTCATTAATTACCCTTTATCATTAAATAAATCATTTTTTATCTAATCTACCGATACAGTGTTTATTGCTTCACACTTCGTTTTTGTAACCTAAAATTTTCCCAAGTCTCCAAAATATTTGCTAATGAAAAATGTGTGTGAATTATTATAAGAAAATATCCTGAGTATGTCCCTGTTTTTCCATTTATGTGATATTCTTTTTTCCTCAGTGTTCCCGAATGCACCGCCACAAACGGGAATTCCCTGCCAAGGAGATGACAGTAAGTATCCATTTTTAGTTTATTTATATCATTTATGATTATGGGAGATATTATTTGTATTATTTTATAGCGACATTGTCTAAAATTAATTGGAAAATCAATAAACGATAGCTAGAATTAAGGAAACTAGATATCTGGGTGCCCTGCAGTGTGTCACCGGTGACAGGGTTGTTTTGAAAATTCGGTTTTTGATATAAAGGCACCTGTTCGATCTGTCTAAAACATTATCAGTGTTACAGTGTTGCCGGATCATTTGACAAGTAGTTGCATATTTGTTATTTTAGTGCAATGGCCCAGCTACGTCGAAACACCGGTTCCCATTAGAACACCGAAGTTAAGCGACGTTTTGTTGATGGACGGGTGACCGGTTCGAAACTCTGTGTCGTGCTGTTGTCCAATAAAGGCAAAAGTGTAAAATCTATTGACACACACACTGCTCATTCACGCCGGTTCGAGGCCGGATGAGATCGGATATCTCGTGAGTAAGAGTCGATTTAGAGACTTGCCAAGTCGGTAGGCCATTGACCATGACAATGACTAAAGAATATAAGGACATGTAACGCCCGTATAAGATACGGGCTACAGCAGAATTTGTGACCTTAGAGGCCTTTCTTTTGATGGCAAACAATGAGTCATCATTTGTTCACCAACGACAGTTTTAGCAATTTTTAATAGTTTGTGTGTGGTAAACTTTGTATAAACTTTATTACAATGGTGACCCAAGCAGCATTTGGACGTCGGGACAACGTTGTGCCACGCAACCAAACGTCGGGGCGCAACGTCGGCACAACCTCGTACCAACCCTAGTCTGCACTAGTTTGGAGAATAATTTTTGGGTCGAAACGACGTTGGATACCGACGTTGGCTAGAAGCCTAATTTAGTACAAACTGCAACGTTGTTTAAAATCCTAATTCACAGAAATACAAAACTAATATGGCGTCTAAGTCGCGTTTTATATTAAATTGGGATAATTATAGTAAAAATATTATTTTTACGATTTAGTTAGAGACATATGTCAGATGGCAGTGAAGGAAAACAAAAGAAAAGTATTTAAGTGTGGAGGATGTTTGAAGATCATAATTAGTGAAACGCTTTAACCGACTCTGTAACTCGATACCCAAGGCAAAAAAGTTAAACGCCAACAACTTTATTGATAAATGTATTGTTTCTACTTTGAAAAATACTAATGGGCCTTAAAATTAAAGAAGTTTTAAAAATTTTCTTGAATTTTTTTTTAGTAAAATGAAAATAATTTATTCGCAGTCGAAAAAATTGTTTCCGCGTGTTTTTTAGGGTCAAATATTTCAAGTTAATGGATTCAAAAAGCAGGAATTGCTATTTTAGGAACGAAATATTTTCTTATTTAACAACATGGCGGTTTTCACTTTGTTGTTTTGGAGATTAAGATGGAGTAGTTCGAGTAGTCGCATACTGGACTAATAAAGTCGCAGTTCGGCCTTAACAGGTAGTATACTAGTCGCAAGATTGCCTAATTTAGTCATCCTAGAATCTAGCTTGTGCCGCCCTCTATAATCTAAATAAACGAGGGAGTGGATAAACTATCGGTAATATATGTCGATATATATTTAAATTTAGTTTTTTATGTACCTTTCTTATGTCCCATTTTAATTAAGTTTTTTTTATAAAAACAAAAACAGCACTGAACTGTCTGACTGAACAGAACAATGAAGTGAAAATTTAAGATTTAAGGTTATGGTTCAATACAGTTGCATAAAGGTAGTGACTCGACGTCCTACCAACGTAAGAATAAGGAAATCTAAACAACGTTGGAATTAGTAAAACAGACGACGTTTGCATAACGTTGGAATAGGTCCTGAAACTGACGTCGGAAAACTTTATATTGTCCAACGTTGTAACTACGTTGTCCGAATCACCTAAAGATCACTTAAGCAAAATGGTTACAAGACAACGTTTATTCGACGTCGCAGAAGCTTCTACTTTGCTGTAGTACTAGTCCAACGTCGGCACAACGTTATAAAAACGTTTAAATTTATTTTAATACCCAAGGTAGGGAGCTAACTATTTTTTGTAACTAATCCAACGTTGTGTTTAGTAAACATGTGGTCGCAAGTCGTGAAAATGCTACTTGGGGATTAGTTGTTCAGCTTTCAAGTGTAAAAGCAGCAGCGATAAGAAAGAGCCAGGAGTAACGTTTCATAGGTAAAAAAACAGTCCACTCCAACTTTTTAGCGTTTTCTTATTGAATTCGATAATTATTCTTCAATTTCAATTAATATCTATATGTACTTGATATGTGCTATACGTCGATACTAGTTTTGTACCTTGTGTTAACATTTTAATACGTTTTTTTCGTAATTAATTAGGATGATACACCGTAGGCGTTGTCAAAATAATTATCAAAAAATATAAATATTGCTTCAAACACCTAGGTTAAGAAAAATATGTGCCACGGCACTGTTTGGTGACATCGGCACAATTTGCTCTCGGGTGTTATTTGTCCTTGGATTCTTTAGTCATTGGACCATGATATGGCCGAGGACAGCGGTTCGGATTCCGCGTAAACAAAGTAGGTCCCGTCCAGATTAGCTCTGGCAGCAAAAAGGAGACGTTAACTGAAATCTTTACTTTTTTTGTTATTTTAAATGGAATACCCAGTATATTATTACATTTTCGGAAACTACTTTTATACCTCATAATTTCTCTATTATACTAACCTATACCTATTTATAATAGTTTGTGAGATAAAAAATAAAACATACCTATTTAAAATTGACAGAAACATGATTTTGAATAAGTATTGATAAAATCATGAATTGAACATTTTTAAAGTTGAAATTTGGGTTATAACAAAAGTCGAACACAAAACTCGTTAGAAAAATAGAATTAATTGATTTGATATTATCTGATTTATACAATATAATTCAAAGTTTATGAATTATTACTAGTTAAACTTCATTAATATTATTTCGAATAATATATTACCCGAAAAAAAAATAGGAGGATAACCTACATACGTAAAGAAATGAGATCCCATCAAAAACATAGAATGTAAAAAAATGCCAAGTCGCGCAACAAAATTCTTCCACTATAAAAGTTGTTAAGATCTTTTGTAAAACCAAGTCAGTTTATTTTATTTAGTTTCTTTTTAAGCACCTATTCAACAATTTTGATATGAATTGTTGAATTAGACATCTTTAATTCTGTAATAATTATAACGACTTATAAAATAAAGTTCCTAAAAACAGTTAAAATAAGTTCCTAAAAAATAAATACAAAAACTGGAAATATTAGTTTTCCACCATATTTCTTCAAATATCGAGATAAGTTCTACTACTTAACGAGTTATCATTGAGCCACTCTATACCGGGTGCGTCTCAAAAGTGGCTCACCCCTATAACTTTTTTATTTTTTCAGTTAAGAAAACGAGATTTGGTATGTTAGTATCTTACATATATATGTATAAAATGCTAATGTTTATTTGTGTCATCTCTACTGAAGTAACGACTTGCTCTAGAAAGTTGCTTTTTTTACTAAAAGATAGCTAATTGGCTCTTCTAAAAACTGTCTTCACCGGATTTTTTGTTTTTAATTTAATTAAAAAAAATAAAAGTATTTTTTTCCTTATGTCGCGTCATGGCGGATGCGCCAGGCTTCAACTAGTATGACATAAATTAGGATTGATTGACGTATTCAATTGTTTTCGGTCACTTCCTGTTTCACCGGAAATGACTGCAACTTTTGATTTTTAAATGACACCCTCGATATTTTTTTACTTTATTCGATAGAGAAGAACACTCTGAATAGAATGTCATATCATATGTCAACTTTTGACATTTTCGCATATGGTTTATTTAAAATTATAACTTGTGGTTCGTAACGAAAATTTGACACGAAATACCAAGTGTGTGGTATCAAATTATTCGTAAAAAAATGCTTTTTCCAAATATGCTAATGAGCCACCCTCATTCCATTTGAGAAAATTGAGATATGATTAAAAATACGATTTAAGCATTTTCTAACTGGCCAGGACAAGACACTAAAAACATTAGACGATCAAATCTATTTTTCCAAGGCTCCTTGATGAAGAATTAGTGTTTTGAACATAGCCATGGCACTCCAGATTGAATTTTAAAATACAATTTTTTATTAAGCGAGAATGTCAAAAGTTGACATATGATATGTCATTTTATTCAGAATGTCATTTTCTATCGAATAAAGTAAAAAAATACCGAGGGTGCCATTTAAAAATTAAAAGTTGTAGTCTTTTTCGGTGAAGCAGGAAGTGACCAAAAACAATTGAATACACCAATCAATCCTAATTTATGTCATATACTAACATACCAAATTTCGTTGTTTTATCTGAAAAAATAAAAAAGTTATAGGGGTGAGCCACTTTTGAGACGCACCCGGTATATGTAATATTGACAAAAACATGATTGTGAATAAGCACTGGTAAAATCATGAAATGGACATTTTTAAAGTTGAAATTTGGATCATAACGAAAGTTGGAGACACAAGTCGTTAGTAAACTAGAATTAATCTATTTATCTATTATTATTGATATTATCTGGCTTTATACAATAATTCAAAGTTTATGAATTATTGCTAGACAAATGTCTTTAATATTATTTTGAATGATATAGGTATTACCCGAGTAGGGTAATAAGTAGGAGGCTAACTTACAAAAAGAAATGAGATCTCCCGTAAAAAATATAGATAGTAAAAAAATCTCGCAACTAAATTCTTCCACTATAAAAAGTTGTGAAATTTCTTGTAAAACTAAGTCAATTTATTTTATTTAGTTTCTATTTAAGCACCTTTTCAACAATTTTGATATATTGAATAGTTGATTGTTGAATTAGACATTTTTATTTCTGTAATAATTATAATGACTTGGTTGCAAGTTAAAACAGTTTCATTGAATTGTGAATAACTGTTAAAATAAGTTCCTAAAAAAATACGAAAACTGGAAATATTAGTTTGTCCACCATATTTCCTGAAATATCGAGATATAAGT